CCCCAGCACGCGCAACGTGTCCGAGTGCACCACGTTGCGCCCTGGCCAAGCGGTCGTGCGACAGCAAGCCGCCACGCCCTGGGTGCAGAGGTGCACCACGCTGCTTCCCATCGCGAAGATGCCCTGCAGGATCGGCAGGTAGAGAGGGTCGCTGCTGCTCTCCACTGTGCACTCCACGAACTCTCCTGCCGCGTCAGGCGGATACAGCCCTGTCACGGTCATCGTCGTCGTCCCGCTTGGCTGACAGGCAGCATCATACATCACCAGCTCGACGCGGCAGCCGGCGCTCAGTCCCAGGAGGCCGTGGGTCACGGCCTGGGGCGCCATGGGCACGTATACCCAGGGTCCAGCCTGCTGCGCCGCCGCCGCGACCCCCGCCACCGCTGGCTGGGCGAACGCTGCTCCGAACTGCGGCAGCGCCCCGCCCGCCGCGGGCATGCCTGCCTGCCAGCCCACGGGCACAGGCGCGGCGGCGGCTGGCACCGCGTGGGCGGCCTGCCCTGCCACGGCGTGGCCGCCTCCACCCCCAGCGTGAGCGGGTGGTCCCACGAGGGCTCCCACCCCGGGGATCCCTGGGATCAGACCCGGCACCACGGGGCCGCCCAGGGCTGCTGGCGCTCCTGCTCCAGCGCCAGCGCCTCTGCCGCGACCTGCAGCGGGCGGCGGGGCGGCAGGCGGCTTGCCCATGCCGCCCATTGGGCCACCCATGCCGCCCATGCCGCCCTTGCCGCCCATCCCGGGCTTCGCCGCTGCCTTGCCTCCGCCTCCTGGTGCTGCGGGGCCTGCAGCGGCTCCGCCCGCGGCCGCGGCAGCTCCAGCGGCCACTCCGGCAGGCGGCGGCGGGAGCAGGGCGCCGACGCCAGGCGGCAGTCCCAGAAAGCCGCCCAGCACTCCGCCGCCGCCCACGCCGAGGAGCCCCCCGCCAGGGCCCAACCCAAGCGGGCCAGGCGGGGCGCCCGCGCCAGCCCCCGCGGCTCCGAACATCGCCACCGCCGTGCTGCCGCCGCGGCGGCGCGGGCTGGTGAGCTCCCCCAGCCGCCGAGGGGGGAGCTCACTCGGGCGCGGGCTCCTCGGAGGGGGTCATTCTGGGGACCCCCGCTTGCTTCTCTGACAGGGCTAATAGAAGCACCTGAGACGAAACGGCTTGAGCCGAGGCGGCTACGGAGAGGCGGTTTAGAGGAGATCGTTTCGAGGACGGAGGGGGGACGAGATAAAACCCATGAGAATCTCAAGGATATATATACACCGCGACGTTTGGTCGGCCAAGAAGCTCGGTTTGTAGACGCCCCAGCTTTTCGAGCAGTGTGATGCTGGAGCGTCCACGGCCAGGAACTTTTGCTCCGCTTGTGGCGGCGGCGGCCCCAGCGACACGCTGTACCCTGCGAGCGGATACAGTCGGACCTGGGCCAGAAGAACACCCCTCAAGAACATGAGACTCTCCGCGAACCGATCTCGATCTTATACCCTGGTCCGACGGTAGCGTGTCGCTCCGCTCCGCGGGGCGGGAGGCGGGGCACCGCTGGGCAACTTGACACCTGGGGACTGGGACGTGGCTAGCGTGTCGCGCTGGAGCGTGGTGGGCCAGAGCCGGCGGTGCGACACGCTGGGCCAAAGTTCCTGGCCGTACGGTCAACCCTTGCATCCTTCCCACTCGGCCCATCCTTGGCCGCTTTCGCTGGCCACGCCTCGCTCGAAAAGGGCCGACATGGCCTTCCAAGGCCCTTGCATCCTTATCGTGCGTCCTTCTCGCACGCATTGACTGCATACGCCAAACTCCTTCGCCGAACTCCTGGGCCCCTTGACCGTCCACGCGACGCGGTGCATACATCGAGCCCCTCCGCGCTGCATCCTCGATGCCCGAGCCTCAGACCTCGTAGGCGAGGCCAGGCTCCAGACGTCAGGACTTTGTCCACGACGTCGACCCCCAGAGGTCTCGACCCCTTCCTCCGGGACCGGCGTTTCGTCCCGAGTCGTTTTGTTGCCCCAGGAGGCCGAACATAGCATAAGGAACCTCCCGTCGTGATTTTTGTCGTGACTCGACGGGGGTCTGGGAGGGGGGCGCAGCTGCAGTCCGACAGGTGCTCGCGCCAGGACTCCAGCAGCGCGGGCTCGCCGTCCTCTCTCTTCCGCGCGCGCGCGCGGGGGCGTCGGCTCCACCCGCCGAGCGGGGAGGCCGAGCGGGGCGGTCGAGCGCTATCGATAACCTCCAGCATCAGACAGCATCGAATCGGGCCATCGCATCGAATCGGGATGCGCATCGGGTCGGGCCGCTTTCCATCGGACTCTGGCAAGGTTTACTTGCGTGGAGCGCAGGATCAGTCAGCGTCGAACCAAGCAATCGGATCGAACCGGGATGTGCATCGGGTCGGGCCACGTCGGCACGGAGTCGAAATCGAATCGAACCGGCTGCGCCAAGATGCAACACGGCGCCGCGCAAACATCGGGCCGCATCGAATCGAATGCGCGAGGCACTGAGGCGAGAATGAACACCACACTTCGA